CTCTGTCAGCTCATCCTCACAGTCTGCAGGCCTTGCTGTGCTAACCAGAACAACAGGGAGGGGGTAAAGCAAACCTCAACYTGCTTGTTGGTCATTTAGACAACCTTTTTTCAATACCTTTTTTTCTGTTTTTGTTTTGCTTCTGTTCATGAGAGCAAATTCTCCTGAATTTGCAAATAATTTGTAGTAACTATATGGAAACACTTCTTTCCTCCWGGGCAGCCTGGTTAATAGATTGACCATGTGGCATCTCTTAGCAAGTGTGTTTACTTAAGAGTTACTTAAACTGTTTCAATGTTTTTCTTTAAAGTGCTGAAGCTTCTCCTGCTGAATGTTGCCAGCATGCAAAAATCCTGGAGGACACACAGTTTGTCGATGGATACAAGCAGCTGGGATTTCAGGAGACTGCTTAYGGAGAATTCCTAAACAGACTGAGAGAGAACCCCAGGCTCATTGCATCCTGCCTGGTYGCTGGAGAGAAACTCAACCAGGACAACACCCAGAGTGTCATTCACACAGTCTTTACCTCCATTTATGGCAACTGCATCATGCAGGAGGATGAGAGTTACCTGCTCCAGGTCCTCCGTTACCTGATTGAGTTTGAACTCAAGGAGAGCGACAACCCCAGGCGGCTGCTGAGACGAGGCACCTGTGCCTTCAGCATCCTGTTCAAGCTTTTCTCTGAGGGACTCTTCTCTGCAAAGCTTTTTCTCACTGCAACCTTACATGAGCCCATCATGCAGCTKCTGGTTGAAGATGAAGACCACCTGGAAACCGATGCAAACAAATTAATTGAGAGATTCTCCCCTGCACAGCAGGAAAAGTTATTTGGAGAGAAAGGCACAGAAAAGTTCAAGCAGAGAGTCCAAGAGATGGTTGACTCCAATGAGGCCAAGCTGGTGACCTTGGTCAACAAATTCATTGGCTATCTCAAACAAAACACTTACTGTTTTCCTCACAGCTTGAGGTGGATCGTGTCCCAGATGTACAAAACGCTGTCGTGTGTGGACAGGCTGGAGGTTGGGGAGGTCAGAGCCATGTGCACGGATCTCCTCCTGGCCTGTTTCATCTGCCCTGCCATYGTCAACCCAGAGCAGTATGGGATTATTTCTGATGCTCCTATCAATGAGGTGGCAAGATTTAATCTGATGCAGGTATGATTCACATTAAGGCAGTCTTAAAAATATATAAGTGGCCTTTTTCTTCCCACTAGAACTGATGTTACTACAGTAAAAGTGAAGGTACTGTCTCTCCAATTATAAAAGAAATGCTAATGAAATATTTATGTTCATTGTTGCTGAAAAGGTGCTGTTCTTGCTAATGTTAAATATTATACCACATATTGCAAAAAAAGAAAAGAAATATTTTGCTGAAACTCCCTGGCAATAATGCCCAATGCTCTACTTGGAGCATTTCACAGCCCTCATGACCAGTTTTTGTCACTATGCAAATACTTGGACAATTTAATGATATTACWCAGAGGAGTCATCTGAAGCTGTTGAGCAACACTTGTCTGACTGAGGAYGTTCCTCCACACGAGGAGCAAAACCTGCTTTTTACTGCTGTCTATAAAGTGGGCAGGGAGTGATTGTCACAGTGCAGTCATGCTGGTGAGTTTTGCTCAGTGTTTTTCTCAAATCCAGCAGCAATCCTCTCCTGTGTCACTGTTCACGTGCTGTAGCAGAGCAGTTGGYGACTCTTTAAATTGAGGGTTGTTTTTCACTTGGAGATGAATAAGGGATATGTGCTCTGAAATAAGGGTTAGCTCTCTTGCTGTTTTTCCTTAGTAAAATATATGCAGCCTTTGAAAATCTCTAGGTTTAGATGACCTAGATTCAACTCTCAATTCTGACGTGTTGTAAAAACAAAACACGCTTTGTTCCATGGGGGGGGAAGTATGGATGCTCACAGCCTACTGTGTGTGCACATTTGCTTGTTAAAGGCAATGACTGCTTTTTCTCTAAAGCTTCTTGCATTTTTTCTGCCATGAAAGCAAGCACAAATCTCTGTCCACTCAATCAGAAGTATTCCTTGGAGTATTAAATGCAAAAAGATTTAGAACGGAGGAGGTTTTTTGAGTGTTTTTTATAATCAGGTCCATAAGGTTATTTTGAAACGACATTTTTTATTTATTCTTGTACTTCTTTTTAATTTCAGGTTGGGAGACTTCTGCAGCAGCTGGCAATGACAGGCTCTGAGGAGGGAGATCCACGTATGAAGAGCAACCTCGCTAAATTTGATAAAGTAAGAATGCAAGCTGAAAAAAAGCAAGTCTTGGTGAATTGTCATCACCCTTCTGCAGCCTTCTTTTTCAGATATTGCAAAGGACTCAGTTTAATTTCCAAGTTAGATGTAATGAAAAGCAGATTTTTTCCCAGCTTTGTACAGGATTTAAAGTCTTGAGTAATAGAATTAAGGGTTGGGGATTCTTGCTTCTGCTCTGACCTAATACTTCTTAAAAGAAAATATTTTTTAAAAAATTAGAGGAAAGGACATTTTCAACTGAGCACTGTAAGTGTTCAAGGCAGGTTGGATGGGGCTTGGAATAACGTGGTCCAGTGAAAGATGTCCCTGCCCATGACAGGATTGGCACTGGGTGRTCTTTAAGGTTCTTCCAACCCAAACCAGTCTGTGATTCTATGAAATACCGAATTACTGTCTCTGGTTTTTCAACTGAACCAAACAAGACACTTTGATCTGAAGGCAACCTTAGTATAATACCTGTTTTAACACCAAGTAATTTGTTAGTGCAAGTAACTTCTCTTCCTTTTCTGCATAGTTTTGCTTTTTTTATTYAGTTTTTCCTCTGTTAGTATTAATCATCCATAACCATGGAGCAGTTATCTTCATCCAAGCAACAATGAAGCTTGTGATATTTGATATATTGTCAAGTGTTTAAAAACCTGTTGCTATCCTTGGTATCCTTGGTAACCTTGTATCCTTCTGGTACTTTTGTTTGTTACACAGTCACCAACAAAGCTCCACATTTATTATACAAGTAACACTTTCAGTCAGATTTGAGGCTGCTCTTGTTGCTTCCTTGTTTCTCTTTTAGCCTGGGCTCAGCGGATTCTTCAGGAAGGGGCAATTTAATTCCCATTATGTTTTTTTTCTTAAAATTGTGAGAGGACAAGTAAGTAAGTAACACTTTGGAATTCAGGAAAGGAACAAAGGAATGCTAAAAGTAACTGCACACTTTTTTTGTTTGCTCTTCAGAAACCTTAAGATATCTGCCATTTAAGACAGGCATCTTATCCTAAGACTTTACAGGATAATTTAAATTTTGCTTCCTACTTTTAAACCAGTTAACTGCTGTCATAAGTTTCTCTCCAGACTGAAGGAAACACATCTCAGTTGCTCTCTGCTGTCTCTCAGAGCTGTGTGGCTGCGTTCCTGGACGTGGTGATCGACGGGCGCGCGGTGGAGACGCCGCCGCTGTCGGGGGTGAATCTGCTGGAGGGGCTGAGCCGCACCGTGGTGTACATGACCTACAGCCAACTCACTGCCCTGGTAAATCCTCCCTCCTGGGACAGCCCTGTGCTCCCATGTCGCCAAGAGACCACTCAATATGAGTCCTAAGCGAGTCCAAGTTTTATAACATACATAATTGGTGTACATGACCTACAGCCAACTCACTGCCCTGGTAAATCCTCCCTCCCTGGGACAGCCACAGCACTGCTGCTCTGTGCTCCCATGTCCCACTCAATATCAGTGCTAAGCCAACCTCCATTTATTGTAAACAATGTCCAAGTTTTATAACATACATAATTGGTGTACATGACCTACAGCCAGCTCACTGCCCTGGTAAATCCTCCCTCCTGGGACAGCCACAGCACTGCTGCTCTGTGCTCCCATGTCCCACTCAATATGAGTCCTAAGCGAACTTCCATTTATTGTAAACAATGTCCAAGTTTTATACATAATTAGCTCATACATATTCTGTAATACATATATTTCATAGGTCCACGTCTTACGTGTCAACTCCACCTTTAATGATTCATTTGCCAAATTTCCCTTATCTACCTCTATTTTTTCCCAAGGCTAACTAATACAAATACCTCGTAGGGAGTTTCCAGCAGCTTAAAATCATGATGTCCTTGCATTGCCTTCCCATCTCCTCAGAAGGATGGTTCACACAATTTCAGCAATTATTCTATCTGAGTGTGACACCTGCATTCCTTCATCTCACCAAGCTGTAAAATGTCTGTGTGATCCTTCTCAGCTTAGCTCCCTTCCACACTCCCACCCTGGAGAGCAGGCTGTCCCTTTTCACTGCAGTTTTACCAACAATCACTGTCCGTGTTTAGGTTGGCTTCATGAGGAATGTGATGTCAAGTGATCAGCTTAAGGAAGATCGGATGGCTTTGGAAAACTTGCTGGCAAATTTACCCCAGAACAAACCAGGGAAAAGCAGCAGCCTTGAGATGACTCCATATAACACCCCYCAGCTTTCTCCTGCAACTACTCCAGCTAACAAAAAAAATCGACTGCCCATAGGTAAGGAGAGTGAGTGGAGTTCCTGTATTTCTGATACCTTGGGCATTTCTGTGCCATTTTCTCACTCATGTCTTGGGGTTACTCTTCACCTACACCTTCAGTTCCTACTTCCTCTGTGGAGATGAAGAATTTCCTTTAGCATAGAAAACCAGGTAACTTTCTTAGCMTCTAATTGTGGTGGATGACTTCCATCACTCAGCTTGAGCTGGAGAAAATTGCAGGAGTGGTAGGTAATTGTGATGGGGGTGGTTGGCAGTGATAAAAAAGGGAAGGTTTGAAGGTGGGAAGCACATCTGGGGGGAAAATTGCTTAGGAAAATAGTAAGATAGAAGTAGAGGCATTTAATCAGTGGGCTAGAATAAGTTTAATGTTTTTTGTTAGAGAACAAGCAGGAACAGGGCTTTTAGAGTGTGTGCTGAGAAAAGAAGCTTTCTCCTTTCTTCATTCATGCTTGCTCTAATTCCAGCTGTCAGTATTCTGGACTGCAATTTTATGTTAGTTAGGTTTTGCTTTTTCAATAGGATTTCTGTGTCTTGAACTTTTCCATATTAATAACACTTTCTTTTAAAATAGGAAGCGTGATACTCTTTTTCAGTATTATTTATGTGAATATGACCACATGGGATATTTTTGTTTGAAAGATTTGATGTTGGTGTGTAAAAGGGTTGAAATACTCTGAGGCCAATAAGTGGCAAAAAAACCTACAAAACCAGCTCTGAAACAAACCTGTCCCATGTTGGTTTAACTCTGCTTTCGAATGATTCTGGTCTTACACCCCTAAAGTAGTGGCACTTTGCAGCAATTATTTGATGGTGTAAAATAGCTTTTGCTCAAAGTTTTTGTTTCTTTTGTTTCATTTTAATGCTTTCGAACTCCAGGACAGCAGTTGGCAGCGATTACTGCCTGGGATACCTCTGCTACCAATCTGTCAGCTCACATAACTCTTGTAACCCCTTTTGGTGGGTAATGCCCTCTTTCCACTCTTCTGTGAAACTTTGACTCGTGTCACATCACTCAGCATGCCTWTGGGTTACCCTGGCAATCATTTCCCTTTGTGGTTTCTTCATACATGAACTCATTTTGTGTACCTGTGGGTTTTTACAACCCCTCATGTGCCATTGTGTGATAATCAGAATTTGGCTGTCACTTCTGCACACTTGCCTTGTTTTCCCTGGGTCAAATGTWGAAATAATTGGTGTCATGCTGCCATTCTTAGAAATCTTAATTTCTTGTGGGTGTTTTTTCTTCCGTGGAGCCAGATGTGGGAATCTGAGGCCAGTTGAAAAGGGATCTTAAGAGAGGCAAAGTATCAGAATAAAGCACCTGAGGTTGTATTGTGTGTCTGGGCTTGAGACATCTGTTAGAATAAAATTTCCTGCTTGTTGGGAGAAAAAGCTTTTTAAACAAATTAGAATTTTAAACCACAGAAACCTAGACCTTTTTAGTAACTAACTTAATTTTCTCATACAATGTATTAAAGGTCTTTCTGTGATTGGAATATGCTGAATTGGTGTAGGCAMACAGGTCCCAGTGCATCTTGTTTCTCTGCTTCTCAACTTTTATGTTGAAAGTTTCCTTCTTGACAGGGCAATACTCAAGTTTAAACACCAGTTCCATCTCTCAAAAGTTTAATGGGACCTTGATTTTGAAAATTTTTGTTATGTAATGCTAATTAAAACACTACAGTTATGTATTTCCATTGTATTTTCTTTTTTCTTCCTTAAACAAGGAGGAAGAGCTTTCTAATGTCAATATTTCAAAATCTCTTCCTAGCCACTCGAAGCAGAAGTAGATCAAACATGCTGATGGACCAGCACGGAGATCACGAAGGCTCCTCCCAGGAGACTATTCCAGAAGTTCAGCCAGAAGAAGTGCTGGTGATTTCTTTGGGGACAGGTCCACAGATTACTCCAGGAATGATGTCAGAAAACGAGGTATCCAGAAACAATGACATCCCCAATGTTTTGAACCRTGCAGCCTGTCTTCTCTTACAGCASAGCAATGAGCTTGCAAAGCTAAGTTTTGGTAGTAAATCTGGAATGTGAATTCAAATCCTTACTGTGTGTTACTGGGTTTGGGGGTTGTAGCTTTCAAATTTCCCTTGGTTAGGTTTTTTTTCCCCTCACTCAAGAAGCTTAAGAGCAAATCTGGATTTTTGTTTGTGAGGCTGAAGAAGCTGCTGTGTCTGTGTGTGCCCTGTCCTTCAATCCAGGGACACAGGTGAATGACACAACTGGAGCACTGATCCTGATGCTTTTGGAGTGAAAGGTGCCACCCCAACTTTCTGTGAAGAGCTGAGCTCATGGTGCCAGCAGTGCCTGCAGACTGTTCTGAGGGTACTCCTGGTGTTCCAGCCTTTGTTTCCCCAGCCAYAGCACAGCTGCTGCTTCCAGCTCTGCTCCCTGCCTGCTGCTTGGGATTATCTCCTCTGCAGCCTCGTGCAGATCCTTTCCATATTTCACTGCTCTGTGGCTCTGCTGTTATCAAGACATGCCTGATGTCTGTGGGTGGTTCCTTGTGTTCTCCCCAGGCTCTGACATGGGAGGTTGCTCTCTTCTTCCAAACAGAATGTTAGAAATTTGATTATTCCATWAACAATACAAAAMCAYRTCTCCAGTGTTTTATTTGCTATGTAACTGTCAGAAAAAAGAGATGATTTTAATGAAGTCTTGTTTCTTTCTCCCACTCTGCAGGTGTTAAATATGCAGCTTGCAGATGGAGGGCAAGGAGATGTCCCCATTGACGAGAACAAACTCCATGGTAAACCTGATAAAACCTTGCGCTTTTCCCTCTGCAGTGATAATCTGGAAGGAATATCTGAAGGTGAAGGGCTGCTTAAGTCTTGAAGAAGTTTTGTTGCTCTGTTGTTTTTTTTTTTTTCCCTTTAACTCTAAAAGGAAGGTGTGTTCAATACACAACACACAAATACATAATCTGTTTTGAAGGCTGTGCCATTTCACCCCAAGAGCCTCTCTTCTCACTTAGCTGTTCAGAGAGTAAAGCCTGGAGCTAAATTTTGACCTACAAAAGCATAACCGAGTCCGAAAATTAGGAAGAGAAAAACTAACTGTCTTTAGAAAGAGGAAATAGAGGCATTTTTTTTTAAACTTAAGTGCTGTACTAGTTTTTAAGTTAATCTAACTTTGGTCTGAACTTGAACTTTCTCAGACTTACTTTTCATCATGTTTTAATTAACTGYTACCTATCTCAGAATACTTTTTCCTTTATAAGAACCTCAGAGATAACAAAGCACAGGTGTCTGTGGGATGGAAGAGGTTTGGACACATAACTTCCACATTATTTTGTATAAGTTCCATAACTTTGTTTTTGCTCTCTGTCTCCTCAAAATAAGAAAASAAATTAAAGGACAAGTAAACAAAGTAAAGACAAAGACTTTATTGCTTTTTAGTTGCAGCTAAGTACAGTATTAGTGAGATTCAGTATTTTTGTGTTGGAACTGCTACTTCATTTCTTCTAATTCTTCTAGAGAGCTTTTGTGTCGTGATTTTTTAATGCTGTATATTTAGGAACTGTTATCCAAATGAGATTTAAAGTGAACTCTGTTTTCCCAGGTCCTTCCAATCGCTCCAACTCTGTGTCCTCTCTGGATCTGGAAGGGGAGTCGGTGTCGGAGCTCGGCGCGGGCCCCTCGGGCAGCAACGGTGTTGAGGCTCTGCAGCTGCTGGAGCACGAGCAAGGCAGGTGCCCCTTCACTCTCACAGTGCCTGGGGTGCTAAAGCCAAAGTATTATAGAAAGAGGTTGCAAAATTGACTGATTCGGGGGAAAAAATGTAGAATTTTCCTTGTTTGTGGTTTTGGTTTGGTTTGTTTTTTGGTTTTTTTTCTCCCAAGAAATATTGTTTGTAGTTTGGTGTTAGAAAAAGTAAATCACCTGGAATTTTGAGGCTTAAGTCCTTTGTAGGAAACTGCTTGTAAAGTTTTGCTTGATAGCAAGCTTTTCCCTTCAGGAGTAGGGTGATCTGGATTGGAATAATCTGGAAACATCTGCATAATTTTCTGTTTAATATTCATTTGTCAAACACTGAAGAGGTTACCCAAAGATGTTGTGGTGTCTCCAGCCTAGAGATACTCAAAATATGACTGGACGTGATCATGAGCAATCTGCTGTCACTCCCAGGACAGGGGTTTGGGCTGGAATGATCCCAGAGGTTTCAGCTTCTCTGTAATCACTTGTTTCTCTACAGGAGTCATATTGCTGTCTTGGTAGCACTAYATTTCATATATTTTTTTCCTGTCAATTTAGCTGATAAGTCACCATGTGKACTTCAAGATTTTTCTTCTTACATYTCAAATGTGTTCCTAGGCAACATTTCCTGAATAGTATAATAATGCTTTACAGCCCTTCCTTTAAACTGCTGCCTTATCTAACAGAATAGGGGGTTGTTTGTTTGATATTTTATTTCTAATGTAGTCTTACAGGTTTTCAATCTGAACTAAYTGGAGAAGCCTTTCAAAAAATCGAGAACTGTTTGTTTTTCCACAGCCACAACTCAGGATAATCTGGATGACAAGCTCCGTAAATTTGAAATCCGTGACATGATGGGTTTGACTGATGACAGAGATATATCAGAAACTGTGAGTGAAACCTGGAGCACAGATGTTTTGGGCAGTGACTTTGACCCCAACATCGACGAGGACCGGCTGCAGGAGATCGCAGGTAACGGGTGTGCTCTGGGTACAACCTGAGGCTGCAAAGCTCTCCTGCTCCTCCTCATCCTCCTCCTCCTCATCCTCATCCTCCCTTCCTCAGCAGGGGCATTCCCACGGATTCATCTGGAGATTTGCTCTAGCAGGATTTTTTGTGTGCATGACCTGGACTGTACTTGGTTACTCGTTTCTTTTCGACACTGTGTTTCCTGATTGCTTTCTCAAGGACACTTAAGATGTGTTCTGCCTTTTCTCTCTAGAGCTGACTCCCTAAGCCCAGCTCTAGCCATACGCTTCGGCTTTACTTTTGCAGGTGCAGCTGCAGAGAACATGCTAGGCAGCTTGCTGTGTTTGCCAGGTTCAGGATCCGTGTTGCTTGATCCCTGCACAGGTTCAACCATATCAGAAACCACAAGTGAGGCGTGGAGTGTGGAAGTATTACCAAGTGATTCAGGTCAGAATCGGGCAGTTTTTGCTTATTTCTTTAGCATGATTCTAAGACTCTTCCAGAGGCATAGAATGTAAAACAACGGCCTCTTCCTCTTTCTTCAAGAAATTGTTGTCCTAGGGTTACTTCCAGGATTAAAAGGACAAAATGTTTCTAGACACAAAGAAGATGGAAAGCCWTGGGAGACACTTCTGTTACTTAAGAAATTCTTAAGGTCCAAAGGGGAAGAGAAGGGTTTGAAAAGCAAACTTGTGCTTGCTTTCCTTCCCTGTGGTATTGAGTAGGAGCTATCCAGGACCACRGTTTCCTTTGGTTAGTGAAGGACTRKATCCTGTTGTRTAAGAAATAYRACACTWAAAACAGTAAACACTCCTCAGCATGCCTGTGCAGAGTATTGCTGTCTGTGCAGAGTCCTGCCTTCTGTACCAAAGATATGAGAAAACTCTTGCTGAAATGGTTGAGTTACCTTAAGACTAAATCAACCCCCATCCCTTCCTTCTKCTTGTGATCCTTTAGGRAGCATGGCATTGAGTAATGATACTTTCTCTCTCTTCTCTCATTGTCTCCCTTTTGTAGAGGCTCCAGATTTAAAACAGGAGGAAAGACTCCAAGAGCTGGAGAGCTGTTCTGGGCTGGGAAGCACATCTGATGACACAGATGTCAGGGAGGTCAGCTCTCGGCCCAGCACTCCTGGCCTSAGTGTTGTATCAGGTGTGTGCAACTGTCTCTGAAARTGCTGTCCTGTCACACCATGGTCAGCACTCACTTTGCTGCTCTATTTATACATTATTTCACTCATAAAATAACTTCCTACACTCATTCTGGAATTTTCAAAGCAGTGGTTCTTTGTTCACCTCACAGAAGAAATGAAAAAGGCAGCAGAGAGGCAAATGCCCTGTGCTGCAATAGCAGTGRTTAGGAGAGGAGTGCTGGTTTGGAAGAAACTCCAAATTTTCCTGCATTTAGTTTTATTTTCACAACTTTTTAATKTAAATCATAGCTCTAGTTCTTAGTTTTCTGCAGTCTGTAAGAGTGGAGTGTCTTTCTAATGCCCCTTGTCAGAGTGTATTGATGGCTATGGTAAAACTTTTGAAGATGTAGAGCAGAAATGAACTGTTATTTTAGGAATATAGAAGTTTACAGTGTCTGTAGATGCTACTGTTAGTTAGAATTTGATTATTCACTGTCCACCAAACATTTTAACAGCCTCAGGATTTTGCTTCCTTGCTTTCTGAAAGACTKTTATAGATGTTTCTTTTYTTATGTGTAAGGTATTAGTGCAACKTCTGAAGATATTCCTAACAAGATTGAGGATCTCAGGTCTGAATGTAGCTCTGACTTTGGGGGAAAAGATTCTGTAACAAGTCCTGACATGGATGAAACAGCCCATGGTAAGTTACTTACCTGGAATCTCTGATAAACACCATTGACATTCATGGAATCCTTTAATTTTACAATTTTTCCCAATTTTAAAGTGCTAGTGACTAAGCTTAGTATTTTCCTTATTTGCCAGTACTGTATTTGTTTGACAAAAGRACTCCAGTGCTTTGCAGTGCTAGAGTTTGAGTACTGATCTAAGATCTCTAATTCAGTTTGATTTCATTGACTGCCCTCTTGCATTTTGGAACTGGGCTGCTCCTCAGGAATTCCTCGCTTTTCGTGATGTAATTCTTTGATCATTTCAATGCACTACAGATATCTTTCCATACAAGAATATCTTTACAAATACTTTGCAGTATAAGTTTTGCAAACTTTTGTTGCTGAGGTCTGTTTTTCCAGTGTCTCTCATGTTGGAGGCAGTTTTGGTACAGCACTAACTTTGTTCTCTCTGTATTTCAGGGGCCAGTCAGTTGACATCTCCYCCTTCTCAGACAGATTCTTTGCTTGCATTGTTTGACCCTTTATCCTCAAATGAGGGTGAGTTATAAAGATTACTCTTTGTAGTAAAAATATGCATTTTCAATGCTTCTATGTTAGTAGCAGGTAATTTGGAATAATATTAAAAGAAATGTGTGTTTTTCTTTACTGCTCACGATCACAGGTGTGTCAGCTGTGGTGAGGCCCAAGGTGCACTATGCAAGACCCTCTCACCCCCCTCCAGACCCTCCCATCCTGGAAGGAGCCGTGGGAGGTAACGAGGCTCGATTGCCCAACTTTGGCTCTCACACTTTGATCCCAAGYGACCTGGAAGCCTTCAAGCAGAGACATTCATACCCAGAGAGGCTGGTGCGCAGCCGCAGCTCCGACATCGTGTCCTCGGTGAGGAGACCCATGAGTGACCCAGGCTGGAACAGACGTGCTGGCAATGAGGACAGGGAGCTGCCCATGGCCTCCAGTGCTGGGGCAGCCGTGCTGGCAGCCACCTCTCAGTCATCATCTTCATCTCCCAGCAAGGACTCCTCCAGGGGAGAGGTCAGGCTTCTGCTTTATTTTTATCTCTCATGCTCGCTTTAACTGTTCATCCAATGTCAGGAAGTTGGAATTAAATGTCTTTAGCCAAGGAATTACAAYRCAYTTCTRTTTCCCTTWAAACATCRACCAATAATGTTTTATAAGATAAARCTACAGATGTTCAGAGTGGCTTAAATGGATCTGGCTTCTCTTAAGTTTACTGAGTCAGATTTACTGGATTTGGTAATACTGCAGAAGCTTATTCATTGTAGTGTAAAACTGCTGCAGCAGCCTGAAAATTAATTTTCTTTGARAAAGGAGTAAGTGAAATCTAAGGTTTTTCATGACTTTGGGTTTGCATTTGAGGAAWGACTTCTTCAGGAGAGATATTCCTGACTTAATCTGCTCTCTGTGCTCTGCTGTAGTTCTGTTTTTGCAGTCAGTGTAGCAAAAGCTGATGTGATGGAGAAATTTTCTCTTTCCACTTGATTTGGTAAATGCTCAAATGTAGACTCTGCCCTTCCACAGATTGAGGAACGGAAAGACAGTGATGATGAGAAGTCTGACAGGAACAAGCCCTGGTGGAGGAAACGTTTTGTGTCTGCCATGCCCAAAGGTAGGATCATGTCTGTCTGAGTTTGGTGCTTCAGTCAGAGTTCACACTGTCTTTATTATATCTTTAGTCGCTTTTTTGGTTAAAGCATAAATAAATATGTAAATAAAAATGGGAATCTGCCTGACTGCCTTGGCTAGTGCCTACAGTACCATTCTCCTCCCCGCCATGGATACACTTATGCTTTTATTGAAGTTGATTTGATGACAATTTTCTGCATTAGCCACTTYCCTAAAGTTTCTGCTATTTGGCCATTATCTCGGAGTAGTCTTTGATGAGGTACCTTGCATTTTCAGCTCCTATTCCATTTAGGAAGAAAGAAAAACAAGAAAAAGACAAAGATGACATGGTGCCTGACAGATACGCAACGCTTCAAGGTATGTGAGTAACATCATCATAGTAATTTTCTCTCAGAGCWTGCCTCCTGGAGTTCCAGAGTGCCCAGAGGTAATTATTGACAGACAGGTATGTGCTGTTGTAGTTCATGTTCACAACTGGCATTTTGAGTAAGAAAATGGATAAAGATTTCCTGACTTGAAGGCTGTTTTTAACTTGTCATGTCTGTCTGTGCATGTAGTGGATTCTCAACTCAAGCTTTCCCCCCCTCATTGTGGAGCTCATGTCCTTGTCACAGCTGAGCTGTGACTATAGCTGTGCACACAGTCCTGTAATAGTTAYTTAAGTGTTAAATTAAACATGGTTTGAACCTGGCTGTTTCCTTTTCGTTTGCCTGATCCTTTCTAGGAGGTTTCAAATATCCAAGAGCTGTTTGTGTATGCAGTATAAATGTGCTGAGGATCTGCTCRGGGTCTGAATTTGTTTATTCACTTTGATTGTACTGTGTGTTTTCTGGTTTGCTTCAGACTTTATTAATACATTTGAATTTGGGCTGTATGGGACACAAGCAGCTCTTTGATGCAGCTAAAAGCAGAYTCCAAATGTGTGGCCTTGAGTTTTTGTATTTGCTTTCAGCTGGGCCARTGCCAGGGTAACTCCTGTTGTTGTTGTGGTCCTTTCAGATGATCCCAGCCCAAGGCTCAGTGCACAGGCACAAGCTGCTGAGGACATTCTGGACAAATACAGGAATGCAATCAAGAGAACGAGTCCCAGCGAAGGAGCCATCGTGAACTATGACAGTGCAGGTGAGAACCTGGCTTTTGTAATCAGCACCAGCAKAGTTTCTCCTCCTTAAAGATAAAAACACTTCAGTATTTTTGACCAATGTAGTATTAGCAGCTGGACAATATGAACTCTGAACCAGGAATGTTTTGTCAAATAATCTGTGGGACTGTCCCTCCAAGGCTGAAAATGAAATATGTATTTCCAAGGACAGCTCTTTCATATTGCCATTGAGGGGGCTGGTTGTTGATAGCACATCTCCTACCAGTTTTTTGTTTTATTTTGTTTTAAATGGCACTGAAGAAGTGTATTGCCTTCCAAAACTTTTGCAGTTTCTTCTTAGGAGGTTGTATGTTTTGATAAGGTTTTTCCATGGTCCAGAACAAGCTGGTTTATTTGCTGTCTCCRTTCTCCCCCTGGCCTTAGAATAGAGCAGAAGATGAGTCTGGTTTCTTCTTCTGTTTCCTCTCTTCAGATGCAATGTGTTTTTCATTTCCACAGAGGCAATTGGGGATGGTGAGAGCATGCACGACTCCCCACGGGATGAGGCTTTGCAGAACATGTCTGCAGACGACCTCCCAGACTCTGCAAGTCAAGTAGCACAACCACAGAGTTCTGCTTTCTCCTACAGGTAAATGTATTTTCAGGTTTTGTCTTACCCACAAAGTAGAATTAGAAGCTGAAGTTGTGTGATTGGTTCCCACCAGAATCTTAATATGGATTCTTTGTAAACTTTTATGTGCTCTCTCCATCCACTGATGAAGGAATGATGCTGTAATCTGAGAGGACAGAGCAATTCAGTGTTCAGGAGAATCCCTTTGAAAATGGTCTGGGTGCTGTATCAAAGGAACTGTTACTCTAAAATCTTGACAATGTTGGTATATTAAAAAGATGTCAACTTCTAGGCAATATTAAATTAAAAAAAAACAAAGACTTCTAATTGAAGAAGCAGACCTCTTATCAACTGTATTAAGAAAATAATTTTTTTCTCTTTAAGGGATGCAAAGAAGAAATTGAGGTTGGCTCTTTGTTCAGCAGATTCTGTTGCCTTCCCAATGCTGACACATTCAACAAGGAATGGTCTCCCAGACCACACAGACCCCGAAGGTAAAGGTTCTGTGCACTGTGTGTCTCCTTGTCCCCATGTCATGGTACCATTTATGGTCACTTCTCTTGGCCATAGATATTGAATTGCTTCTGCCAGGCTGCCTTTTGCATTCTCACTCCACAGACAAACCTGCCATCTCAACCTAGACTATGATTTTATCACAGATACAGTGCAGGTGGAGCCTGAAGCTATAGAATARACTCTCAAAATACCTSTGCTCTTGGGAGTTGTGCTRCTTGAGTGATTTACTGAGTCTTTAYRYTGACTYAGCATAAATGTGTTGTGTTGTGTTGTGTTGTATCCCTCTGTTCATTCTAGGTTTATTTGTGGGCAGGTGGATGTCACCTTATCTGGTTCTCTTCATGTTTCAGAATGGTTCTAAATACCAGATAAAATATGTTATGMATGCTTATCCTCTGATAGGTGGAGAATTCAAAAAGCCTTATTAATTGCTCTGAAACAATATTGCCTAATGTGCAGAAGTTTTGTTGTAAAACATTAATGTGTTTCTCATATTCAAAAATAGCTCATTTTCATCATRTCTACATTTGTTTTCCTTACTATTTTCCCTTTGTTCTTTGTTAGATAATGAGATTGTGTGCTTCTTGAAAGTGCAGCTGGCTGAAGCCATCAACCTGCAGGACAAGAACCTGATGGCGCAGCTGCAGGAGACGATGCGCTGCGTCAGCCGCTTCGACAACAGGACCTGTCGGAAGCTGCTGGCATCCATTGCAGAGGACTACAGGTACTTTGGGCACTAAATCATTGTCATGGCTTCCCAAATTCAGGGATTTATTCACTAGCAGATTGGCAAGATCCCTTTTGTTTTAAATTGTGCTTCGCCAAACCAGGTTATTGCGTCTCTGCTTCCCCACAAAACGATGCTTTCGTCTCACCCATTTGTGAATGGCTTAAAAAAATTCAGCTTTGAGTTAGTCCTGGTAGCAAACTGAGGTTGAATTGAATAATCCTCAGCTTTAACACACATGAGATGCTGTTTGAAATTTGCTTCAGTCTGGTAGTTTTGAGTGCTGTCAGGGCAGTGAACTCACAGAAATGAACTGCAGAATTCAGGCGTTGTTTTGTTTCAAAAGCAACAAGTTGAAGGATCCTTTGCACTATGACTGAGCAGTTTGTAAAGCTGTTAGCCTGTCTKTATTATGGATCTGATGCAGAGCCCTCTTTGCTGCAGGAAAAGAGCTCCATATATTGCTTATTTAACTCGCTGTCGCCAAGGGCTGCAGACCACTCAGGCACATCTGGAGAGGCTCCTGCAGAGAGTCCTGAGAGATAAAGAAGTGGCCAACAGATATTTCACCACAGTGTGTGTGAGGTTACTGCTGGAGAGCAAAGAAAAGAAAATAAGGGAGTTTATTCAAGGTAAGATTAATGCAGACTGAAGTGTTTAAATTCTTGTACTCCTTATTTAGATGGTGGCTTGGGTTAATGTTTTAAAATCCGTCTTTTGGTCTGAGGAGCAGATTCCTAAAATTATTTTAATTTCAGCTGGTGAATTAATGTCTAAATAGAGAGATTACTGTGACTTTCCAGTATTTTGTGGCAGCTAAGCCATGGTAATTTTCTGCATTTTTTGTGGGCTGAGAGAATGAAGGTARTTTGACCTTACTTGGCCTAAAAAGTTATGCTAAATCTCATTATCTGCCCCATGGCAGAAGCATGAATACTATTAATTATTTTATATCTACTGATAGAGGATRAATTAAGTTGCAGCATTCAGTTCTTAGTCCAGAACCTATGGTTGTTTCTTAGAAGATATGGAAGATAGTAATAGTGTAAATCAAGTGAATAAAGGATTCAAAAATGTCACAGCACAGGAGATAATGGCACCAGGAAACTCTGAACAGCTGCTTACCCCAAACTGGTTCTATATTCTCTATGCACATACCTGACTAAATGAAGCACTTAATGAATTTGGAGTCAGTTCTTGCTCCTGAACATGTTGTTTGCATATTAGATATGCCCGAAAATCCTCTCAGAAATAATATTTTTTTCGTTAAGTGAATGTTCTTTCTCTTCCTCCTTTTTTCTCAGATTTCCAGAAACTCACAGCAGCAGATGACAAAACAGCCCAAGTGGAGGATTTTCTGCAGTTCCTGTACGGGGCTATGGCTCAGGATGCCATATGGCAGAATGCCAGYGAGGAGCAGCTCCAGGATGCACAATTGGCCATCGAGCGCAGTGTGATGAATCGCATCTTCAAACTCGCCTTCTACCCKAATCAGGATGGAGATATTTTGCGTGACCAGTAAGTTAATGGAATTGGAAGGACTTGTTTTTGTTTTTTTGCAGTTGGTGGCRGTGGAAGCTATGCAGGCTTCCTGTGACAGACTTGTGTGAGTCAGCCAGGCCACACAAATTCATGTTTTCATTCAGAACATTTTGTAAAAGAACAAGGAAGAGCCTTAGAATCGTGTGCAAATGTGTTTGCAACAAACAGCTAGAACAGAATAAAGTGAAGTGTAATGATTTGGGATCCAGGCTGTGAAGTCTGCTGAGGGAATGACCAAAACCTGGTACAGGACTCGTTCCATTTTCTGGTTTGAGTCAGTATTTTCCATGCATTTGGGGTTTCTGTGGTTTAGAGCAGATGCTGTTGGGATGCTCTAGGGGATGAGCACARTCCTCTGCATCCTCACTGACCTGGTGTCCATCAGCTGTAGGGCCTCCTTGCTGAAGATCTTTCTTGTCCTATCAAACATAAAACAAGTGGCAATCCCCACCTGGCTGGCTGCTGCTTACTTTTCACTCATTTTTTTTGTGTTTTCAGGGTCCTTCACGAGCACATACAGAGGTTATCCAAAGTAGTGACTGCAAACCACAAGGCACTTCAGATACCTGAGGTAACAACTCCTTCTGGGCAACCTGGGCCTGGGCTTCACCATCCTCACAAGGAGGAATTTCTTCCATACATATAACTTAAATTTCTCCTCTTTCAGTTTGAATTCATCTTGCCTTAAAGCTTCCCTTTTCTCCAGAGCCTGTGAGCTCTGTTGCTGCAGTAGCTTGGGCAGATGAGGACGGGTTGGTTTTTCCCCAGGTTTATCTCCGGGAGGCACCGTGGCCATCAGCACAGTCTGAAATCCGCACAATAAGTGCTTACAAAACCCCCAGGGACAAGGTGCAGTGTATCCTGAGGATGTGCTCCACCATCATGAACCTGCTCAGTCTGGCCAACGAGGATTCGGTACCTGGGGCCGACGATTTTGTTCCCGTTCTGGTCTTTGTCCTCATAAAGGTAAGWTCTTTTGCAGGGATCACAAATTCCAGTTAATTCTTCTAATAAACWAGCAAATTTAGGAGGAGAAATAGTGCCTGTGGGTCATGGGGAGCATGTGAGGCTCAAATGCAGATCTGGTTCAGCGGGGTTTAAGTGGGAATGTCACAAATGTGGTCACAGTTGGCCTTCGGATTCTGCCACTGTTCTCCTTCTTTCTCCTGACCTGCTGGTCATTTTTCCTTGTTGGAAAAAGGTTCCTTTCACAAAGCCTGATGCCTTGTGAGTGTGTGAAGTGGGGCTGGTGARGATGAGCAGTGGGTTCCATGCCCTGCAGGATGAGGATCACCACACAAAGGGAATTGTGTTCTGTATCTTGCGGGGTTTTTTTTTTTGATGTTGAGCTTTGCAAACCATCTCTGAGCATCTCTGTCCTGTCCACCCCAGGCCAACCCCCCTTGCCTGCTGTCCACTGTGCAGTACATCAGCAGTTTCTATGCCAACTGTCTGTCTGGAGAGGAGTCCTACTGGTGGATGCAGTTCACAGCCGCCGTGGAATTCATCAAAACCATCGACGATCGCAAGTAACGGGCACAGCACTGAGCAGGACAGGCCTTCTGAGAATGTACAACAGCTGCAAAAGCTGAGCAAAAGACTTTCCTTGTAAAATACTGTACAGAATTGAGGCATTTTAAAACACACCTTTACTAATCTAATTAACTTAACAGAATTTCCTCTTCTCTTTGGRTTGCGTTTTTTTCTCCCCTCTAGACACTGGCACTGCAAAAGGGACCACAGTTTTCAGGTATTTTGGAGTTTCAAAACATTCAGAAAATTCTTCATGTTTTCTCCACCACCCCTCTTCCTGAATTCTTATTCATGTGAATAATTCACTTCATTTAATTTCTTACAGAAAACTGATACAAGAGGAATCAGGGCAACCACGCAGTACACTTTCTAGTTGAATACACCTTTTATTAAGGAAACACCAGCCACACTGAAAGTTTGTAGTAGCTGACATCAGTTATTGATTATATTTCACCTAAATTTAAAATCTGAGAGGACAGTGTAAATATTATATAACTATATTTAATGCATTGCAAGTATCTTTGGACTTACTATCCTTTGAATAAACAAGCAAAAGCCTCTCTGACCTCTAACAGGTTGTGATGTACCATGTTTTGGTGACAAAAGGACTTCCTCAAAAGGCTAAGGTTTTAAAAAGGGCAAACTGAACTATTTATTAAGATGTAATTAAGATTACTGAAATTTCTAAAACTGGAATTTATAATAGGGCTTGTTAGCTAGCTGAACACTTCTTGGCTAGGGCATTAGGGTGTTACAGAGGTGTGGATATATGGACGAGAGGGACTGTAAGTTACAATAGAGAAGTCTAATATAAAAAGGAGAAATAAAATACCTTACTGTAATATTTTTTTCTGAGCTATTGTGTATACTGTACAAACCCAAAACAGAGATCCTTAACAGAACCTTGGGCTGTAATATATATTTTGATTAGTTACATTAAATACATATGCCAGGGGGTTCAGTGAATGTTTTTACTAAATGTTCTTCATGTTGTCTGCTATGCAGCAGTGCAAGTTTTACTGTTCATATAAAATATTTTAAAATAATAKAACACTGTTCTTTATGAAAACATATCATGACATCAGTTCAGGGTGTTTTATAGATTTCTCACCCCGCCTTCCCCTTAAACTGACATTAGCAATTTAAAGAGGTTTTTATGCACAACACCACATGGGTTTTTCATGAGTGAAGTGGTCTGGGCCATGGCCAGTGGGTGTTGGTTGTATTTAAGCACTTGCTGCTCTTTTTCAACTTGAATACAATGAAAAAGGACAGCAAGCACTGAACTTTTTCATGTCAGTATTATTCCTTTGCTCTTTCCAGAGTGTKAATTGCACTTCTGACAGAGGGATGTGGTAAGACTCGGTGTCTGAGTGGTAAAGAAAACAATCTTTCCCACATTCTTTTCAAAACATGATTGGTTCATTTTGTGTGTATGTGCATTTTGATGATTAAAACCTGTAAGCAACTAGTACTTGGGAAAATCATGTGGTTAATTGGAATTAGAGCAATTTATGTAAAGTACTGAGTGCTTGAATTGGCTGTGCTACTTGTCAAGGCATAATAAGAAAACTTACTTTTCAGGGCTCTCAGATAKAACTCAGTCTAACAGTTTTGCCAAACTAATCACAGGTGAGAAGGTGGGATGGTCAACTTTTCCTTTTATTTATAGTYTTTCTCCTCTGTTAGAGACTTGATTGTGTGGAGGAGCAATACTCAGTCAAAACAGAATTCTTCTGCTCTGCCTTACTTGGTGACTCAGTCTGTGTAGCATTGCAATATTCTGGTTATTTTGCCTTGATGGGTTTTTGGTGCTGAACACGTAACTCAATATTGCAAGCACAGCCCTGACCAATAACACTCAGCAGCAAAGCACAAACATGCCCTTGAAGATATGGCCAGATCATATCAAAAAGCAATATAAATTCATTTCTATTGAAGTGTCCTGTAACATGTAATTATTACTTGAATATCCAAGACGTTCAGACCGATGTGTGAAAGTTCTGCAGTTTGGGTGTTGGTTGAGGAGAGTGTTTGTAGGATCCCTGAGGAAGGACACAGGAGCTGGTGATCACCCTGYGTTCCTCTCTTTCCTGGCTCACAGGGTTTGGTCAGCACCCTCAGGGCTTTCAGCTTTGCCCTCCTTTATGGAAGGGGCAAGAACCATTTCCTTCACAGCTTTTATCACTTGGTTTCTCTGCATCGAAAAATACTTCAAAGAACTGGAGTCTTTTTTTTTAAATGTTACTTAGTTATTTTAAAACCAGTAGTTGTTTCAGTGAGCCCCAGGTGAGCTGAGAGTTTTTGTAGCAAGATGGTCCTTTGCTTCTTTTTTCCAGCCTACTCTAAAGGTCCTTTATATAGTCTTGATAGGTGTAGTTAGAGAATTAGGCTTTCCAAAGAATTWAAAACCTGCCTGTAATGTCCTTTTACTGTTTTCCCCAGTGTCCTGTAATGTTTTGTTTTAAAATGCTAAATTCCATGTCTAGGAAGTGATGTTGTTAGGTTTGATGTGCAATAGCRAAGATGAAAAGATGGTGCATAAAGGACCAAAAGTACCAGAACTGCTGCCAAAAGGTGCCAGCCACGGGCCTGTTGCTGTAATCTCGGTGCTTTCTGTGAATTWAACTAYTTCAGCCACTGGAGGAGGAATGGAACATTTTGGGCAAGGTGGAGCAGGGCAGGGCCCTTGGTGACAGTCACAGGGTGGATTTCAGGATTGTTGGCACTTTCTGAGGAGCTGCCACGTTACACAATGACATGTCTGTGCCTGGGAATGCTGCAGAGGTGCTGGTTTCCTTTTTGGGTGGAGGAGGGAAAGGGAAGGGGCTTGGGTTTTTCATCTCTAGGAGATTCCTTTGTGCTCCTAGGTGAGATTTCTCTTTAAACCTTTTTAAAATCCTCTTTAAGGAGAATCAGAATGTGTCTGGCCTATCAAGGATTTGAGTTTAAAAGTTTTTGTTTTGAAGACCTTTAACTACCAAATGCTGAATGTAACTGCCATAAATTTCAGGAAAAAAAAGCCACAAACATGATGCTGTTTCCTGTGGGTGAGTCTGGTGAGCGCAGTGTTGGTTCGTATCGCTTGGAAAMGTTCTTGTCCTGTTAATCCAAATTCTCACAGAATTGGAGAACTCACTGCCATGGGAATGGGGTGGGGGAAGGGGGCAGAGCTGCTGGCAGCAGAATTGTGTGTTGGCACGAGTGAGGCAGTGCCTGGASAGCTGGAGCAGCAGTGGGGACGGAGGGGGAAGGATGCTCGTGTCTGAGTACTGCTGGTTGAGCCTGTACTACTTGAGAATTAACCTCTGCTGAGTTAGTAGTGTGTGTTCTGTACCTTTTAATTGTGCTTTACCTCTGTTGAAAAGCTTTGTACTGCCTCTCCTCTTTGGTAAAGCCTTTATAAATCTAAATTAACGAGCTTGCACAATCTTGTATACAGGAACCCCATCTTGTCTCTTAACGTGATTATTAATGTATTATTCTGTAAAAACTGATTAAAAGGAGAGCAGTTTAACCGCCTGGCTTTGACGTTTCTGCCTTGTTCCAGTGCCATCAGCAGTTGTGCTGGGGATGGCAGTGCAAGTGTGAGCAGCTTCCACTAACTCTGTGTGGTTTGTGTTGGGCATCCCTGCAGTTCACAGGGAAGGGACATTGGCAAAAAGAACCAAAACCCAGTAAAGGGGAGAGGAAGCACTGTTGCATTGATTGCTTACCACAGAGCTCTTCAGATAMGATTTTAAATCTGCAGCTTGGCTGTTCTAGTAGCTTGAGAGGAAAGAAATAGCTCTGCCTGCAGCAGGACCGTGCCTGTCCCTCTGCTGGCTGCTGTTAGGTGCCTGGTTGGGAATGGTCAAGTCCAAAAGTATCATGTTTGGTGTCTTATTTCTTAGGAAATGTTATTTTTTTTCTGATGAGCTGGGAATTTGTTCAGCTGTCACGCACCCATCGTGGTCCTGTGGCTGAACGGGGTGGGCCAGCAGTGGTGGAGGTGCTGCCATGAGCTTGGTCCCCGCAGTGTTATTGACCTTGATTCTCTCTCATTTGCATCCAGCATTTTTCATCCTCTGGAATATGGTGTTTGGGGACCTTTCCATCATTAAGTGGATTTACAGCAATTTCCTTATGTGTTTTCTCCAAGGGATTCTGTTATGAGAGGCACATTAAATCTCCATTAATACCTCATTATCCGACTGATAAGATTACCATGATAATGAGGCAGAAATTCTAATTGTTTCACTTCTTATTGTGCCTTTCATTAAATCATATACCTGGAAGTCGCTGTCAGAGAGGGGATCTCCAGCCTGCAGAGCTCGGGAGGTGACCCTGGTCCTGTGCATCCCTGTCCTGTCCCATGGTGATGGAGGGATCCTGGGCTGTGCTGGCYTTTTCTCCTGAGCTCCTGCACCTCCTGCACGGCCTCTCCTCCATGGCCATGGGCTACCCAAAGGGCTTCCAGAGGCCCCAGGGCGCTTGGCAGCCTGCAGTGGGAGCAGGAATTTGGGGAGATGTGTTCCACATGCCCAGCCGGGGCTGTGCAGAGCCGCCTGCTCCTGGGGCTGGTTAAGCACAGGGGTGTGCAGCCTCTGTCGGAGCTGTTACAGCCCATCAGGTCAATGATCCATGAACTAAAAAGTCTCTAAGCAAGAGCAATTATTGTCTATCATGTGTCAAAGGCGGCCGTATTGACCCCGATAGATGGAGCCATTATGGCCTGTTGAGGCAGCGATCCATGAACGGGGTTCAGGGCCRGAGCTGCGGGCTGCGGGTCCTGCCGTGGGCAGCCTGGAGCCAAACTGAGCTGAGGAATGGGCTGTTTCCCAGCTCCTGCTCCCCTGGTGCCTGTGCAGGATGCCCTGCTCGACCCCGGCTCCAGCCCTGATTCCATCCCCAGCTCCATCCCCAGCTCCATCCCCAGCTCCATCCCCAGCTCCATCCCCGCTCCATCCCCGCTCCATCCCCGCTCCATCCCCGGCTCCATCCCCGCTCCATCCCTGGCTCCATCCCTGGCTCCATCCCTGGTTCCAGCCCAGCCGGACCCGTCCCTGAGCGCAGTCCGTCGCTCAGGCTCGGCTCACGGGGCACGGAGCCCGTGGGGGATGGCTCCTCTTGCAGTCCCCGGGGCAGGACTCTGTGCGTCCCTGTGCCAGCACAGCCGCGGCGGCGGAGCSCGGAGCTCCGAGGGGCGATGGAGCCGCATGGGCGGGAGAGCGGAGCGCTGTCCTGCGCCCAGAGGCGATGTCTCCATAGAAACTGGCACCTGCGGAGCGCGGGGGCACCGGGGGCCGGAGACAAAGCCCGTGCGGGAGCGGCGGGCAGAGCCCCGGCCCGGGGACCCTCGGTCCGCTCCATCGGCTCGGCACCGGCGGCTGCCCCGGCCCCACCGCTCCGCCGGGAACCGGGCTGGCCCCGCTGGCAGCGCCCCGGTGCTGTGGCAATGCCCGCTGTCCAGGTGGCAGTGTCACCCTTGTGGCACGAGTGGCTTTCAGCGCCAGCCTGCGGGGCTGCGGCATCGGGGCCGGGCAGGTGCGGGCGGGCGGCGGAGCCGGTGGGAGCAGGGACCCAACCGATCCCACCGTGCCCACCGAGCCCACTGTGCCCACCGATCCCACCGAATCCACAGATCCCACCGTGCCCACCGAGCCCATCGATCCCACCGAACCCACCGTGCCCACCGTGCCCACCCTGAGCCCCGCCGGCAGCGCCGCGCTGAGCCACGGCGCCAGCACAGTCGTTGGGCTGGGGTTAATCAACATTCATTCATGTTTCCAAGTGTAAATTGAGCATTTGTTTAATTATGTGTAAGCAGCAATACATTCTGGCCATTATCTAAATCACTATTTTATTTCCTGGATGTGGTTTCATAATGCTGGGTTTGTGCTCCAGCCTCTGCATCATTAACAGAGAAGAGTTAATGAATATAAAAGCGTAAAGGCTAATTACACTTTAATTTACAATCATGGTCTCATTTTGGGACCACATGAAATCTGTTTTGAAAACAATTAAAAAAAAAAAAAAAAAGCCCAGTGAAGGTCTGCTGAGCGGAAGGGTTTTGGCACAGAGCGAGCGGTGCCGGTGGTCACCGGGCCCGCGGAGCTGCGGCCGCTCGGTGCTGCCGGGACCGGGACTGTCCCTCGGTCCCTCGCTGTCCCCTCGGTGTCCCCTCGGCCCCGCAGGGCGGTGACCCCGGGCCCTGGGCTGGTGCTGCTGCGGTGACAGTGCTGGGGGATGGAAACTGGAGCCCGAGCGGGAGCGCAGCTCATSGGAAGGAGACAAAGATTTATTGGGCTGCAGATGTTGAAAGGAGAATCCAGCGGGAGTGCTGACTCCAGCACTCTGCAGAATTTACCGTTCTGGGGATGCGTTTCGGTCCCTSCCGTGCCCTCGGGGGCGGTGGCTGCAGGTGAAGCCGGTGCAGGGGCGGTGAAGGTGAGCGGGGCCGGGCTCTGCCCTGCAGTGCTGGGAGCAGAGATTTGGCATCCTCAGGAGTCAGAGCAGCTCCRGGCAGAGCCCGTGTGTCTGCTGCCATCGTCCATGGCAGGGGCCACTCTGCCAGAGGTGTCCCAGAGTCTCTGGGGACAGTCACCACCGATGCCATGTCTGGGCCTGGGCAGGAACCGTCCCCACTGGGGTGGGATTGCCTTTCTGGGTCCGGCTGTGGGTTCAGGTGGGATTTTGGGGCCGAGGCATGGGCAGGAAGGAGAGCAGGGCCCCGGGGAGCAGAACTGGAGCATGTGCTCCCGTGCTTTGCAATGGGTTAACACCTGCTCGTATTTCCTTTATTCTGATTCCCCAACAACGGGATAAAAGCCGTGTGCTGCGAGCAGGAGGGAGCAGCGGCCTCGGAGCCAGAGGCTCGTTCCCTTCGCTGGGCTGGCTGCCTGCAGCCGGCAGAGGAAATAAATCTCCCCGAGAAAACCACTTCGCTCACACAATTCCAATCCAACAGGGCATCGTGGCATCACTCACTTCTTGTTTTATTTAGCTGATAATCTTTTATTGGGCCAGTTGAGCCCTGCAGAAGCACAAGGCCTTTGCTGGCTGCCTGTGGTGGAGGACARGAGGTGTCCTGCTGCTCCAGGGGTCTCTGGAGGGGCTCAGGGGGATTTACAACGCTCAGCATTCCTCACCCCGGGGCTCTGTGGGTGCCTCTCCTGCTGGTGGATGTGCTGGGGAGGCTCCTCCACCTGCGGGCACCGGGACAGGCACCGTGCCGGGCCAGAGAGTGGCACCGGGACTCTGCTGTGCCGGGCCGGAGGGTGGCACCGGGACAGGCACCGTGCCGGGCTGGAGGGTGGCACCGGGACGGGCACCGTGCCAGGCTGGAGGGTGGCACCGGGACAGGCACCGTGCCGGGCTGGAGGGTGGCACCGGGACTCTGCTGTGCCGGGCCGGAGAGTGGCACCGGGACAGGCACCGTGCCAGGCTGGAGGGTGGCACCGGGACAGCACCGTGCCGGGCTGGAGGGTGGCACTGGGACAGGCACCGTGCCAGGCTGGAGGGTGGCACCGGGACAGGCACCGTGCCAGGCTGGAGAGTGGCACCGGGACAGGCACCGTGCCGGGTGGAGGGTGGCACCGGGACAGGCACCGTGCCGGGCTGGAGGGTGGCACCGGGACAGGCACCGTGCCGGGCTGGAGGGTGGCACCGGGACAGGCAC